ATCAAGTAAAACCAATTGGGTTTTAAATTTAGTTCCCCAACTGGACCAACCACTTAGCTTTGAGCTTGTTTGTCCAGCCCCCCAAGTTTAGTTATCTGTCAACCCCCCATTCCTTACCAGAGTCATCATTTTGACCGGACTTCCAGGAATTGGAAGGCGACTCTTTCTTCTTTTCTGATGGAGATTGAACTTCTTTACGTACAGGATCCCTATTTCACGAGCCCTAGTTAAGGGAAGCTTTTCACCGAGCTGCCTGTTTTTTTTTATGTGTTGTTGAAGGCGGTAGTTCGTTTGTATGAACTTTATTAGTCCCCCAACTGGATCAACCACTTGGCTTTGAGCTTGTTTGTCCAGTCCCCCAAGTTTAGTTATCTGTCAACACCTCATTCCTTACCAGAGTCATCATTTTGACTGGACTTCCGGGAATTGGAAGGCGACTCTTTCTTCTTTTCTAATGGAGATTGAAATTCTTTACGTACATGATCCCTATTTCACGAGCCCTAGTTAAGGGAAGCTTTTCACCGAGCTACCTGCTTTATTTTATGTGTTGTTGAAGGCTGTAGTTCATTTGTATGAACTTTATTAGTCCCCCAACTGGACCAACCACTTGGCTTTGAGCTTGTTTGTCCAGCCCCCTAAGTTTAGTTATATGTCAACCCCCCATTCCTTACCAGAGTCATCATTTTGACTGGAATTCCAAGAATTGGAAGGCGACTCTTTCTTCTTTCCTGATGGAGATTGAAATTCTTTACGTACAGGATCTCTATTTCACGAGCCCCAGTTAACGGAAGCTTTTCACCGAGCTATCTGTTATATTTTATGTGTTTTAAGTATTCACATAATTCAACATACATTAATCTAAAACATTCATTAACTCATTGCAATTCAATAAAGAAAGTCATGAACTAATAAATGTGCAGTTATAAATGTAGTTATTTCATAAACTTCAGGTTCATAAAACAAATACTTGAAATACATCCGTACGTTAGATGAACAACAACATTATCTTACACTCCAGTAACGAAGATATGAGACAACATAAAAACATATATGAAAGATAAAGGTTTTTGATTTCTCATTCCTCATCTGACATATAGTAGTCAGAGAGATATTTTTCATTGTTTAAGACATTATATCGCTCAATCACTGTCAAATCTCTGTTGCTTGCTTCTGCCATTTGATGGCTAGCTGAAGTATGAAATGTCGACATCTCCGCATCAACATTCTGTTGTTCTCCTTCTTAATTCTGCTAACTTTTTTTTCATAGTCACTCACATTTCGTCTAGCCATGGTCAATGAATGACGATGAGGTACCGGTGCCCCAAAGTTACGTAGATCATTAAACAATCCTTCTTGCTCCGTTACCCTGAACGCCTATTCTGCTCGGATACCAGCATAATAATCCTTCGAACTCGAGTACTTTTCGCTCTTGTAGTCATAAGTAAATGGAGGTAGCAGCCACACTTTCGGATTTCTTTGCCGGCGTGAAGTTCCTACACCTCTTGAAGACATTGTTCATAAAATAAACAAACAAATAATAATAGTAATTGTAGATATATTACTATTGTTATGACTTGAACAAACAACATACTGGGGGTGTCGTTATTTATAGACATCATACTGAGGGTTAACTAGAGATGATCTAGTGACGATAATGCATGCTAAGGCACTATGGAAGAAGTGATACCCGTGATATTATTTTATGTTATTTATTTCATGCAATCCTGAGTACCCGTGACTTTGTGTACCTGTGATGTAGTCACGGGCGTGGTTGTTAGATAAAATCATAATTGTAGGCTAGAGGATGACAATGCAATCCCTTCATATTCAAGCAGTGAGTTGTCAAATAAAACAACATGCAGTGAGTTGTCACATCGCCACATGAAACTAATTTTTCATGATTACTTTTTTAATACAGTAAGTAGTCACTTGGAATTGACGATTTCAGTACAAATTGGTGTTTTCAAAAAATTATAAATGAAATTAAATGCTTAAATTTTCTTTGTTTTAAAGTAATATTCTTCATAAACAACTATGAAACAGAGTGCAAGTAAATACACAATCGTCCAACTCACTTCGACTTGCAAAACTATCGTTGTTTTTTTCACCGAAATAATAAAATGGTCACCTGATATGTAAACACGATTGAAACTTTGCAGCTTATATTTTATCTTATTTTCACTTAATGAACTTCACAGTCATCCCATTTTCTCCTTTTTGCATTTTCTGCTCCTTTTTATATTCGGTAAATTACACTTTACTCCTTCAGTCCATCACATAATTGTTTATCAACATTATTTCCATGTGGTCGTATTGATGTGACTTAGATGAATTTTGAAATGTGAGAAAAAAAGAAAGCATTTATTTGCGCTGCAGAAAATCACATGCATCACGTAATGTGAGGAAAAAAGTCACAAACTATATAAGCATGGCAAAGTCAGAAAGCCACATGCATTACTACATCACTGCATAAAGTGACATGCATCACTGCATTACTGCACAAAGTCAGATGCATCGCTGCACAAAGTCACATAGCATCTGAGGAAAAAACAAAGCATCCAAATTATTACGTCTGTTCAAGTCACTGGCGAGCATCACTGAGAAATGTTGGACGTATCACTGAGCCGAGCTACAATTTATTATCGTACCATACCTACTGTGCCCTTGTGAATTATGCAATTCATTAAAATTTTGAGGGGGTGTCATAACAAAATAACAATAAATTAATAAATATGTCAATACACCTAAAAAGTAAAACAAATTTGTGAAAAAATATTTCAAAAAATTTAAAAATATTTTAAAGATTTTTAAATTGTAATTTCACATTTATTTTTTAAAAAAAATTTCAGGCAGAGAAATTTGACTAATTCAGACGTTTAGTCGGTTGATCAGCTTGGTTCTTTTCATTTTTCATAAAATATTTTTCAAAAAATTCTACTTTCTTAATTTTCGTGTTTTTTTTCCAAAGTTTTTACTGATTTTTTTTTAAAATATTTTAAGCAATTTGACTAATTCAGATGTTTTTACTTTTTTTTTTATGTTTTTACTTTTTGTTTTGAAATAACAATAAATTATGCAATTCATAAAAGTCGAAGTGACAACTCCTATCAAGTTGATGCATAGTTGTTCAGGTCATAAAAGTTGACGTGACAACTCTGATACATAGTTGTTTACAATAATTTCATACATATAGCTACCATGTATATATATGGTATAAATATCGCATCATACCACAACAAAAGTTTTACAGCTATTTCGAGCGATATCATCATGAGATATACGGTGGTTGATCTATATTCAGTAATGGGTCGCTACTGGGTTGCAGATGGAGATGAATTTGAATACCCATTAAATCCAAATTTGCGTTACTCACGTGCCACCGTCAATACCATGAGAGCTGAGTGGGAATTTCGCAAAACTCGAGCAAACGTTCTCGTTGAGCTATGTCATGAAGTTAATCTTAAATTTCCTCGCCAGTTAGCCATGCGTATGCCAACTGACACTCCACAATTGTTGCAAAGGGCATTGCACCGTATCCGCGACAAGATTAATCGCATGACCCAACGTTTGCAAAGGTCCGGACTAATGAAGACCGCAAATGAGCGTGCCGAAGATGGGTTAATGGATGATACACACTAGTACTTCTCCTGGAGCATGGATGTTATGTATGAATCTGATATTGAGATGTCAGATGATGATGATAATGAATGAAATTGTTTGGATGAACGACCAAACCATTTCTGTAATGCATGCAATTTGTAATGCTTATCCACGACTTATCAATGAAGGGAGATATTTCAATTGTTTTCGAATAGTTCTTGTAATTCTACCTTTACTTTCTGTCCGTTATTGTTATTTTGAAGAACGCTACTTGAACTAGACTTTCATGATTTCATGCATTATTGATGTGGAATATAATAATGATACTTAATGAACTACAGGTTCATTTAACAAATAGCTGAAATACATGTTTAAGCTAGATGAACAACAAATATATATGTCGACATTTTGTTTGGTTATCATTGGTTTGTATATGAAAAAAAGACAGTGAATGCAATCATTTAGAAAAGTGAAAGAAAAGGGAAAACAAAATTATGTGTTTGTATAGATATTTATTTTGTTTCCTTTTTATTCATATTTCTCCCCACAACTATCCATTATGTAATGTTTACATTTTTTTCCTAGATTTTTTTTTGTATAAAATTTTTACTAACCTATAGCAACACAAGTGGTCCTCTAATCTCCCTCGTTAATAATATCTTATCAATTCTTATCCTTTTTTTTTCTGTTTTCCTTTTCATTTTTATAGAAATCATCAAAACAAGTAAGAATAAAAAATTATAAAATTATATTTTCGGAATAAATAAATATGACACATTTACATCATCTGTACAAGTTTGATTTACAAAAACTATAACAAAAACTATAAATAAAATAAACTATACACTCCATATCACACCCGCTAACGCCCTAACCTGCCCCAGTCCCACAACCCCGACCGTGGACCTCCCTCCTCGGTCTTCTGCGGTAGACTCTCTAAATATCTGGCTCCCCCAATCGTAAATGCGTATCTTGTGGAGCCTGTGAGTATGACCCCCCCTCTACTGCATGTGTTGCCCCTGATCCTGTCTGTGGCCGAAGATCGGATGCTGCTGTGAGCTGTGAAACTCCATCATCTGGTGCAACTGTATCACGATCTGCAGCTGGACCTCGACCTCTGCCTCTGCCCGCACCCCGACCTCGGCCGCGACGTCCGCCACGACCAAAACCTCAGCCTCTCCAGCGCGCTCTGGGGGGGGCTCAATATGGGCCTCATCGTCAACGTGGGAGATGTCAGTGAGAACTGCATCATGTGTACTCATGGTCGCGGTCGAACTGTCTGGTGGTGGTAACTGGGTGGGTGGGGTAACAACGTCATGCATGTATCGGGGCGGTGTCCAATCAGGGTCAGGCATATAAGGTATGCCAGATATGTATGGGGTAGTATGTGGTAGGGTGACTGATGTCGAAGGAGCTGATGTGGCAGGCGTTGAAGTGGAAGGCGCTGATGTGGACGGCGCTAATGTGTCTGGAGCAACTGCTGAACTGTGTACATCGTAGTGGCCGTAATGCAGACGATCTCCCCGATGGGCAACCTGGAATGCCTGGTACAATAACTCTCGGATCTTTGCAACGGCCTGCAAGGCATGCTGTCCATCACGTCTGAAATGGGCGTCCTCAGCCAAGTGATACGACCTCCCAGCTCTAGCTACCTGAACAAACATTCAGACGTATTATTAGGCTACAGCTGACTGAAAGTAAATCAAGTATGATTTTAATAATTATCTGACACATAATATGATACTCACTAATGCCTCAAGATAAGGCCCAACTCCCTGATATCCAGACTCAGACACGTGGCTCGGGTTCCCGACTAGTAGGTGTGTATGTCGCCGATACCACAACATATAAGGGTCGGAAGAGGGGATCACCTTATCTCTGTAGTCAGCCTGTACAATACTGTCCCGACGGGCATCCCACAACTGTATATATGGCATATAAAACAGATGCCAGTCAGTGCCAGCTCGGCCACGCCTATCAGTGACGTGCAACTGCCACTCAGTGGCGAACCGATCCGGCACGGACTAGACCCGACCAAACTGTCGGAGGACACGATAGGGGAGATGCCACTCAACCACGTCAAAACAAATAAGTGGCACTCTCGTCATCCATATCTCCTGACCCAGTCGGCAGTAGTCGGGGAGCGTACCGAGGACCCCAGCGTAAGGCTGCCAGATAAACTACAATGACGACAAATAAATTAAATTTTTCTCGTGAACTCAAAACATAGACAATGAAGAAGACAACTAAAATGCAATCAAAAAATTTCATACCTCGCCCTCGATCATCCGATCCAGCTGGTCTCTATAAACTACCACTACGTGGGTCGAGACGACCTCGTGGCCCATGTCAACCCTCCACCGGCTACCTCGCGGTCCGGGGGGCAACTGCTTGTCCCCCTCACCCATAGGAAGCTCACCAGGACCAACCAATTGCCGCCTAGACGGGGCAATGCAAATCAATCTCTCCCATGCCCAAATTTACAATAGTTTGAACACAATTACAATACTGATATATGACATATAATATGAATTGACATGTAATAAAATTCTTACTAACCTGTTGCAACACAAGTGGTCCTCCAATCTCCCTCATACCCACCTGAGCTGCTCGACATAGCATCCTATATAAGCATGCTAGAGCCGCCCTACCCCAGCTGTACTGCCTAATCTCGTCAATGTCTCTCAACAGTGGCAAGTACATTAGCTTGAGCAGGTTCTGTGACTTATCAGGGAGAAGTACCCAACAATAAGCCACAGAACATATGCTCGGGTATGCTGCTATACCAACTCATCTGGAGCATGATCTGGAAGATGAGCAAACTGCTTGGCCAGCCACCTGACCCTCAGTCTACCTGCCTGTGAATCTGCTGGTGTAGGTGCTACTCCCAATAGCTCAGCACATAGGGCTATCCACTGCTCCGTCGCGAAAGATGAGACAACTCCAGTAACTGCTCGGCCATCAATCCGAAGACCATATAAGACGGATACGTCCTGCAATGTGACGGTGGCCTCCCCGATCGGGAAATGGAATGTATAAGTTTCTGTGCGCCACCTCTCGATGAGAGTAGTGATGAGTGCGTAGTCCAGTCGAATGTGCCCGATACGATACACACCATAGAATCCCGCGCGTAATACATACTGCAAGACTTTATGGTCCAACGGATGCTCCCACAATCCAGAATCTGCCTGACGGCATGTCAACACGGTGCGTGCCTCATCCTGCACAACAGAATGACTAGTTTAAATAATAGCATTATTACGAAATATACAACAAAATGCAATGTATTTTAATTGTAAGCGTAAAGTCCAACAAACGTTATTGCATACCGGACTCTCCCATATACTGTTAGCCCGATGTACCTGTCTGAACAGTGGAACCTCCTTAGGTACATGTGCCATGAAGCCTGTACAACTGAAATATTAGATCATCCATATCAAAATCTCATTTAATCATAACATAATAACAGAAAAACTGTAATTATTGATTTTGTACTTAACGATTTAAAATACAATGAAGTAAATCTTATGGGTTCGAGAAAAGACAAATTTATGTGCCACTTACATGGAAACAATTCGAAATTAATGATTGCATTTATGGCATATTTGACAAAACTTAAATATTGATTTTGTAATGCTAAAAGTTTGAATAAATTATAAATTTTGTAAATTACATATAAAATTTGTAATTGTGAACAATGACTGTAGCATTCCAATTTTTAAAATTTTAATTTATAATAGGTTAATTTTTTTTAAATTTGTAAATTTTTTAAATTATAAAATGTGAACAATGATTGCAGCATTCGAAATTAAATTTATTCAAAAATATGAAATTTTGAAATGGTAGAAGAACTACGTGATTAAGTATAGAATTTTGTAATACACATTTTGAATCAAGTACACAGTGAAAAACTAGTACACATTTTCAATAAATTATACAAGTTTGAATAAATTATACATATTTTCAATTTTGTATTACACATTTTGAATCAAGTACACATTTTGTAATACACATTTTAAATGTACGACCCTGTTTACAAATAAAGAATTTAAAAATAAATAATTAAATTATCTATTACAAATAAAGAATTTCAAAATGATATATTACAATATGTAAGTATTACATAGTCTTTATTGACCAAGTCGCGTCGGACATATTCGCCTGTCATGATCTGTCTGCTGGCACTGACTGCAATGAGCTGTCAAATGCCTGTCTAATATATCTATCTCATTCGGAATACGAGCCATAGATGTACGACCCCGTTTTACTTCTCGCAGACGAAGTACATTAGGCATTAAGGTCCACTGCGGATCATCCCAATAATCTTGATGCGGTATTGGATTGAATTTAGTTTCTCAAACCCTCATGTATACAGGAAGCCTATATACTGGATCAACGTACTGGAATGGATTGTCACCGCATTCAGACATTACAGCGAGCATATGGGAACATGAATAGTGTCTTATCTCATATTTCCCACAACTACACGTGGGTTGATTCGTCCGCACAATCTGTCTATTGCGACCTCATCCACGGCGAAAAGATGTTTGCACCTCAAATACATGGCGGGGCCTATAAGACAATATTGATACAAACTAATCAACTTCATGTTTTTAGGTGTAATTAACTTAAAAACATAATAATAACAATTTTTTCACATTACAAACTAACCCGTCATACGATATCAGCTTGAAAGTATTTCCCCTTGCGATACCCTCCTCCATAGTTCTTTGCATCTCTCTAGGGTATTGGAAGTCATTCCGTACATCTGTTTCAGCTTGGGCTCCCATCTCGTCAAAATATTTAATGAGCCGTCGAAATGTAAATTCAACCATAGCTGAGATAGGTAAGTTCCTTGCACCTTTCAAGACGCTGTTGAAGCACTCTGCATCATTACTGGTCAATACCCCCCAGCGAAATCCACCGTCATATGCAAGGGCCCAGTCCTCAAGATTCATCTTGTGGACCCAATTGATGGCTTCTTGGTTAATAGCTTGTATCTGTTCTAAGTAACCATTATACTTTCGTCATTGATCAGCACTCCCTGCTTTCCATAGAAGTTGTTTGAGCTCCTTATTTTTGAACTTTGTGTTAAAGTTACTGCAAACATGTCAAAGGCAGTGTCGATGATATCCAACACATTGGAGCGAGGGATTCAGCCAATGCCGCCTCACAGCAGCTAAAATACTCTCAGCTCGATCAAATATCAAAGTCACTCCTTGTCGGTCCAGGATAATATGTTCCTTGATATTTTGAATGAAGAACGACCAAGACTCCAAACTCTTCCTGTCGACAACAGCGAATGCAAGCGGTAATATTTTGCCATTGGCAGTGACAATCATTGCTACAAGCAACACACCAGTGTATTTACCGTATAAGAATGCACCATCTATAGTTATAACAGGCCTACAATATCTAAAGTCATCGATGACGGGTTTGAAAGACCAGAAAACAAAGTGGAAGACGGGCATAATGGTTGTATGCCCGGTATATCTATGCTTCCATTTGACAATGGTGCCAGGATTAGATGTCTGTAATGCATGCATGAATTTAGGCAACTGCCTATGTGATTCATCCCAATCACCGAATACCATTTTAATTGCCTTTGCCCTTGCATGTCACGCCTTCTTGTATGATATACAATAGTTCATGGTCTTTTAGATATCTTCGATGGCATTCTTAATTGGCATATCAGGTTCATTCTGCATACGACAATCAAATATGAGTTGGATTATCTGGGTGTGAACACTATAAACAAACAAATATGTATATATATGTAAACATTTATTTTTTATACTAATCGCAACTTGTCCCAAAATATGAGAAACAATGTAACTGGAGCTAATATTAGTGTGGTCCCTGTTCATTCGTGGGTATGAACAATGGTGAGGACCCATGTACTGCTTTATTTCAAAAAGACCATGTTTCCTACTAAGAGATGCACGCAACCACCAACTGCAGTCGTGCTTGCAAGCAGACACCCAAACGTCTCGCTTGGAGGTTACGACCGTATACTCTCGATTATTTGTTGCATGGTACAATTTCACAGCATGTACAAGTTGTTTCTTATCAACAAAAACCATTCCTCTGTCCAACTCTGGATTTTCAGCGCTCCAGATCCGGTTATGGGAACGACATCACGGGTACTAATGTCAAAATCACCACCCATGTGAATGCTGTCATAGAAAGGGATTTCAACTCTAGGTGGAATGGGGGCATTTTCAGGGTCAACGGGAGCCTCAGCATCATCTTCTTTATCATCATCATCATCATCTGATTCGCCCAATAAATTTTCTTCATCACATATTTCATTGTCATCATCGTTTAGGGCGACATCAGGACCGCACATGTCACTGTCAGCAAACTGCACATTGTTCACTGTTTCTGCCATATTACCAACAACTTCAACCGGAGTGGTATGATGGCTGCATGTCGGCACATCTTGTGTGTTACTGTCAAATTCATAACCATATCCACCACGTGAACTTGATTCTACACCATGGCCCTGAAATGACTGTTGTGTGTAGCATAGTGGATAACATTGACCTGATTCATACATAGGAGACTGAAACGCTGTTGTGTCAATCCCATGCGTCAGCAATGTAGTGAACGGACGAGAATCCATCTGTGTCATGTTCGGGATATTGTGTACAACCTCTTTATCAATGTAGACTTCCAAACAATTTGGTGCTTGAAAACTTGCACCGATACTTAATACGGTGTTCAACGCCTCATCATCATTGATCGATAATATCTTGTATTTGCTGTGTGCTTGCCACTGGCGATAAGAATATCTACATTTGAAGAGCAATCGAACTGTTTCCCCGTAACTTGCCACCTT